AAGAACAAAGCTTTTGTACATAGGGAAGGGAGGAGACTTGAGAGGGGAATGGGATAAAATAAAATAAAATTTATTTTAAAAAAAGAACAAACTCATGTCATTTGCAGGAAAATCTGTGGAACTGGAGACCATCATGTTAAGTGAAATAAGTCATACTCAGAAAGTCAAACATCACCTCTTTCTACTCATATGAGGAATCTAGGGTTAAAATAAAGAGACAGATATGACATGAAAGAAGGAAGACTATTAGAGAACAGAAAGGGGAGGGGTGAAAAGTGGGGGGAAAGAGAAATGATCAAAATGTTATATATGCATGTACAACTATGTCAAAATAATATGCACCAATAAAATTTTTTGAATACAAAATAAATGTGGGTTAGGTGGAAGCAATTTTACCTCCATGGTGCTTAAAGCTTTGTGATGCAACATCAAGTCTTGCCTAGGTCTCCACTCTACCAACCCCTGCAAAACTCAAACTTGCTAACCCAAAACTGTGTGACCCACTGACTTAAAATAAGTGCCTCTTATCAAACAAAATGGGAAAATATGTTTTCATTTATGGAAGTCAATTATTTTTAAAGGAATGCTACAGTTTCTACATTAAACTGAATATTCACTAAAGCATTGTGATCAACATCAATGAATACTTAAGAGTGCCAAAAGCTAAAAAAAATTAAATATTATTATTTTTTAAATTTTCATTAGTACATGTTTTTAGTACATAATGATTACACTCATTGTGGGGAATTGGTACACATATATAACATATCTCAATTCTTTTTTTCCCCTTTCCCTCACCCGCTTTTTAAAAAATATTTTTTGCCAGCATCAGTCATTTATTTTACAAGTCTCTCATAAACAGAGATTAACTATTATCAATACAGATTTAATAATAAAATTTTCTATAAGAAAACACAACTTTTGAGAAGTATTAATTCCAAATCAATGTGTCATATTAAAATCTATACTCTATTTTAGAAAGAATGTCTATGGACATAGGGAACAGAATTAGAATCGAACCCTTATCTAAGTTAACTTCCACTTTTAGTCCTAAATAAAACAACTTTATAGTAATAACAAACCTTAGGATCAAAGTTCTCATGATCCTTTAATTGATAAAAGAATCAAAAGTCAGAAAGCATAGCTGCCAAAAAGCTGCTCCCATTAGACACAGAAAAATTCCTTTCACCATTTTTTAAGATATTTATATCTTGAAAATGGTTCCTGGAAACACAGACCACATACACTGGTACCATAATAAACACTGATTATATGACTGCACATAAAAGAATTATATAATTCAAAAATACAATTTTTCAAAAGATAAAATCAAATCATTCCAGTTATTTTTTCTTTTCTACAAATGAAGCCTTGTAAAAATTTACAAATTTAAGAAACAAATGATAACTGGTAATAATAAAACAATGAATAATATACTGTTATAAAACTATACTATTACCTTAGGAGTTTAAATAAGTAAATATCAAAGCCTACTAATTCAGAAAATAATCAGGCTGTAAACAAAGTATAATAATGAAGAACAGACAAACTCTAGTGATTTCAAAATAGTAATGCTTTAACACAACAACCCTAATACTCTTAAAGAACATTATTGTGGGGCTAGGGATTTAGCTCAGTGGTGCTGCTGCCTGCCTTGCAAGCACAAGGTCCTGAGTTCAATTCCCAGTACCAAAACAACAACAAAAAAAAACAGTATTGTGAAAATTATTTTAAGACTTTTTTATAACACCAACCTGTTGCAATTCTTGTATATTTGCATCCTTGACCTGCAAAATTTCTAGAACTTTTCTGTCCTTAGCTTCAGATTTCTGTTTTTCTCTAGAAACAAGCATATATATAGACAGTTCATTAGTCATAATTGCTACCTAAACCTTTGAATGTTCACATCCTAATAATGAATATAACTTTAAAATACAAAAATTAAACCATTGTAAGTTGACAGCCCTTTCAGAATCAATCAAAAACCATATAGCAAGAGACAGCAACTTATAATGACAACCAAGACAACCTCATACTAACAAAATAGGTTAGTTTACAGATTTTGGTATATGATAAAAAATATAAAACATAATTCAGCCTTGATTGCAATGCCCTACAATGTTATCACTTTTAACATAATTAACAAATATATTCTTGTTTGTTTTGTTTTTGTTTTGGTACCGGGGATTGAACTCTGGACCTACTGCTTGCGAGGCAGGCAGCGGAACCACTGAGCTAAATCCCCGGCCTCTATATTCTTATTAATATAAACTCTTTATAGATAAAATTAATTAGACTATAGGCTACATATTACTATTTTTAAAGTAACAGTTTCAAAAATGAGAGAATCGGAGCTATACTAGTAAACAGTATTCTATGAGCAGAATTTTTAAGATTTCTAACACCTCCCTACACTTTTCTAGTCCCTGAGAATACTACTAACCAAACTGAAGGATAGTTGTATATTTCCAAACACAGGTCTCTGGTAAACAGAAAGTCATAACATGTAAAAAGAATTACCTTCTAAAAATAAACAAATACAGCTTTAAATAGGGAAAGGAACCAAGGTCTGAAGAGATTACATTCAGAATACTACTGGTCAATTTATATCACAAACGGGGAGAAATTTACTAGAAAAAGATTCACAGTTGTAAAACATTTTAGAAATAGTTAAAAGAAATAAAAATGGGGCCAGGGATTTAGCTCAGTGGTTTCACCGCCTGCTGCACAAGCACAAGGACCCAAGTTCGATCCCTGGTACCAAAAAAAAAAAGAAATAAAAATGTGCACCTAAATAAGCTATGAGTCACAGAATTTACAGATAAGGAAGAGGAAAAGAATCTTCCCTTAAAGAAAAATGCAGCAACTGCCTTAGAAAACACAAAAGGGATATCAGAGGAAAAACCAATCACAAAAGCATACAACAGGTTATAAGAGATAAGGTCAGGTGGTATAACAGTTTATAAAAATATTTAATTCTAATATATTAGCATAAGTTCAAATTTGAGGTTCTCCTCTAAATATATAGTACTAATAGAAAAACATAAAAGAAACATAGCTTTGTCTCTGAGAGTCACAAATGAAGCAGAAATACAAAGAATTAAGGTGGTACTTGCTATTCTTAGGTCCAGTCATGGGTTAAAGTGGAAAAGCAGAAAGGAACTTGGCTTCAGATATACTGGAAATAAAAGTGCCTTGCTGGTAAGTAGAACACCAAGCTCACTGTGTGGAACCAAGATCAAGGTGAGGCTCCTAACTCATGAAAGGAGACCAGTTTCTAGCCTGCCTTGCTAGAAACTAAGGATTCTATGGAAGTCTTTACAAAGGCAAAAGCTTATAGATATTGTACCCCAATCAGAAACTGGACTATCACACCCTACAGCAGAGGCACTAAATATACTGCATATATATATATATACATATACACATACACACACACACACACACACGTATATATATGCATACCCTCATGTCACTGTTGGCAGAGTGCCTCACATTACCAATAGAAAACTTACTTCAGGAAAGAGGATGGGGTAAGGTTGACAGCTCAGTGGCAATCATAAAATTTAGAGGGAAAAACCCCACATTGAACAGAGAGGATTCATAGGGAATGAGGAAGAGAACAATAGCAACAAGAGCACTCTTTCCCTCACGACGTGCCCACAACGAAAACAATCTAAACATGAACCCGCAGACACCAGCACATGGGCTCAATAATCAGAGGGTGCAATTCTCAGAACAAAATGAAAGTAATGGGACACACTGAAGAATAAACATTTAAAATAAGTTAAAAGTGCTTAAAGACAAAAACATGACTAAGACTAAAAGTAAAAACAAAGCAAGAACAGGTGGATGTAAAAAAATTATTAAAAGTCTTAAACTTTATTTATAATCACTGAAGCAAAAACCTAAAAGCAGACACAGAGAAATTAATGAAATGAAAGATACTAATGAAATATTCATACAGAACACTGCAAAGAAAAATAATGAATTTTAAAATATGACATCACAGTAGAGACAGGTAGGTTTCACTCAGAAATTCCAAGATACCCTAAACATTCCAGAAATAACAATAACAGAATGAAAGATAAAGCAATATTTTGGGAGTAATTGCTGAGAATGGTTTAGAATTAAACAGTCCTCAGATTGAAACAGTACTTGGCAGAATAAAAAGGAAAGCATATCTATACATTAATCCATGGCTCATTTAATGTGTACTATTTCCTGAGCCCTTACTAAGGTAGCATTGGCCTAGGGACTAGAGATAAGGCAGTGAACAAAAAAACAAATGGCAGATGGGATTAACATTCTAGTACAGAGACACTGAAAATAAAAGATATATAAGTGAGCAACCTTCCTTTCACTACCAACTTCCCATTTATACCTGATGATCAACAAAGGACTCTGCTGATAGGTAACATTTGAGCAGAGAGATAAAGAAAGGAAATGAGAGTGATGCAGACCTCAGGAAAGTCTTCCAAGCCAGGAAAATAATAGAAGGTACAAAGAGGCTGAGGCAAGAACATATAGCAGTCAGCCCTTACCACAAGGTATGTGTTCAAAAAGCCACCCCTTGTGGCTGCCTGAAACCAGATAGAACCAAACCTTATAAAATGTTATGATACATATATATTTAGCATAAAGTTCAATTTACAAATTTGGCACTGATTGACAATAATAAAATAAAGCAATTATAACAATATGCCATAATAAAAGTCATAAATATTGTCTCTCAGTTTAATCCTGGAATTTTCCATTTAATATTTCCAGACCACACCTGACTGCAGGTAAATAAACCATGGAAAGCTAAACCACAGACAAGTAAGGCCAGAGGAACTTGGTATATTGAAATTGGTGTATTCAAAGAACAGCAAAAAAAAAAGAATTTTTGCAGTACGAGGGACAAGGGAATAGTAGAGGAGGACAAACAGTTCAATGGGGATAAAATAATATGTGGCTTTCTAGACCCTTTGAAACTCAGAGCTGACTCTCAGTGAAATAAGAAAGGAAAGGATAGTTTTAAGCCAAGAAATAATGCATTACTAATTAATATTTTAAAGTATCATACTAGCTCACAGATTAAAGATAGACATTAAGTATTGAGAGTAAAAACAAAAGGCCTGTTACCAAGCAAGTGCAGCATTTCAGACAAAAAGTACAAGTGAAAAGGACAAGACAGGTAGGTGTGATAATGTTGAAAAGTGATCATATCCTGGATATTTTTAAAGTAGACTCAACACAATTTCTTGATATATTAGTATGAGATTTAGAAAAAAGAGTAATGTCAAAACTGACTCTAAGGCTTGTCTGAGCAACTGGAAATTTGGAGTAGATAATACCTGAAATATAAAGCAGAAGGAAAGCAGACACTAGAAGTTTGGATTTGGACATATTGAAATCCAAGAGAAGTCAACAGATGGGCAAAAAACAAGTCTGAAGTCATTAAAGAAGTGGACACTAAAGACATGACTTTAGAAGTTTAGACCATAAGAGTAGACGAGATCACCTAGGGAGTGATTCTGAATAAATTAAATTTGAAGATTGAGTCCTGGAGCAATCCAGCAGTTACGGTTGTAAGAGTTGAAGAAGGAAAAACTGAAAATGATATTAAGAAGACAAGTCAGTAACATAAGAGGAGAATCAAGTGATAAAAGTAGAAGTGGTCTTTCTAGAAGAAATGAATTACTGTGTAAAATGTGGCAAACACATTAAAGAAGATAAAGGTTTAAAACTGCTAAATTTAGCAATATTAGTCACTAATGATCTTGACAAGAGCTGTTTGGGGAGAATGGTGGGTATGAGAGCTTAATTGGAGTGAGTTTGTGAAGTAAAGAAAAAACACAGAAATAGTAAAAACTCCTCTTCAGAGGAGTTTTTACTATTTAAAAAAGAAGCAAAGTAGAACAGTTTTCCAAGGGAAAATGACCTCCAGAGAAGTTTTTGTGTGTGTGTTTTTAAGATAGGAGGTAAAATGCGTGTGTGTGTGTGTGTGTGCTGACTGGAATGATCCAGGACAGTAAAAGATAAGGGTATGAGGGAGAAGGGAGAACTGCAGAGTAACATCCTTTAACTCCTGAGGCTTTACGTTTGCTCTGTTTAAGACTGAGATGGGAGTATAAACAGTTTTTGAAAAGAAATAAAAAGAGAGAACATCAGTAGATTCAGATATGTTGGTATATGTGGTTATGGAACGGAGTAAAAGTTCTAGTCTAAGAGTTTCTTTTTTCTCAATGGTACAGTAACCACTTTTGGTTGTATCCATTGTATTGACATAAGGCACCAAGTAATCCAAATAAGGGAAATACTATAACTCTCAACCTGCTAGGTATCTAAAACACTGAGTTTGTGTTCTCTAAAATCAAAGAGTGAGTTCTAGGAACAACAGAGGTTAAGTGTAGGAAGAATTTATGGAAAGAAAGATAGCATCTGTCTGAGAGACAGAAGAGGGACGGGCAAGTGGGTTGCCCGCCCACCCCACTTTTCAAAGGTGTTTTATTGGCCAAAGCCATGAGGTGAGGCAGGTTCAAGGTGGGACAAAACTATAGTCAAGTAATAAGAGTACAAGAATTGTTGCTTAGGTAATATTGATCCAATGGGAAATCATGAGGTAGGACAAAACTATGATCAACCAATAAGATTACAACAAGTATAGTCACTTAGGTAATATTGATTACATGGGGATTAAATGGGGAAGGGTCATGGATAGAAGGAACAAGAATTTCCCTAGAAGGATTGGGCTAGGGAGATTTTAGTCCCCACTTAAGTTGACTGATGCCTATTTATTATCAATCGCTGCTATTCATCTCTAGGGGGAAGTATGTAAGTGTAGTATTTTTTCC